AAAAAAAAAAAAAAAAAAAGAAAAAAAAACAAGGGATGGGAAAAGAACGGATGTTTCAGGCCAGGACTGTGGAACCAAATTTAAATCAATGTTGCCAGAATCTAATTCAAAGCTACTGAAGCTATTTAAAAATCATTAAGTTAATGAAACACTAAGATCTTCTCAGTAAATAAGCTTGTAGAATTTAATTTGTATTTTCACTGTGCCTGAATATATCTTATATTTAACACATTCTTTCAGATCCCATTTGGAAGCCAGTACAGACCAGTGGAAGCGTTTACATCTCTCTCTTCAGGAACTTCTGGCATGGCTGCAATTGAAGGAGGATGAATTAAAACAGCAAGGACCCATTGGTGGAGATCTTCCCACTGTGCAGAAACAGAATGATATTCACAGGGTATGATTTTTTTTTTTAAATGATCTTTCGGTCATTCCTTTTTGTTTTGCAGGTCAGTGCTGCACGAAACAGTTCTTGTTGGAAAAAGTAGGATACCCTTTAAAATACATTTTAGAGGCAATGAAAGCTGAACTTCTTGCATGACATTACTAGCTACAATTTTCAAACACAACTTAGAAAATCAGCTTTTGGGGGGAGGAAGTGTTTACTACCAGCTGCTTGGCTTTTTTGAAAAGCAAAACAGCATTTTAATAGACCTATCACAGACAGCTGGTTTTCATGGCCAGAACAAATACTAACCTAATATTATTTGAGGATTAAATAAGTAGTTCTGAAAATTTTTCTAGATCAGGCATTTAAACTTCATGCGTACTTTTTGAAACCCTATTTTGCTATTGATTTTGGGGAACAGTTGTGAAAAGAGTAGCTGATATCAGCCCAATAGTATAAGAACAAGGGCAAGGAACATTACGGATATAAAGAAATTGTCCTCTCATGTTTAAAAGGTAAATTTATGTAGTGATTGGAATGAACCATATAGGTATTTATACTATGACATTTCTCCACTATACACTTTTCCATTTCTTGGAATTTACTTGGATGTAGTATTCTAGCTCTCCTCTCCTTCATCCACGTGTGTCTTTAGTTAAAATAATGACATTATGGGAGGTTTTTTCCTCTCGTTTGGTGACCAAGTATACTTCAGTGTGACATATAAAAAGTTATTTTGAACAAATGTATTTTCTATTGAATAATTTAAATTGTCAGTCAGACAACTTGATACCGTGAGAAGAGAATATTCCAAAATGAGTGATCGTCCTCTCAAAGCATTGTGCTGTATATATGTAACTTTCAGTCTGTGAAACTTGCCAGAAAAGGTATTGTTTCTGAAGTTCCTAAATCTCTGATTTTATTGTTTAATGGAGAAATGTGCAACGGTACTATAAAATGAAACTGGATCTGGAATACCTGTGTTTTCTCCATTCATCAGGTAGCTGTATTATAAATATTGCTCTAATAGATTGTCCTACCTCATGCTGAAGGACACATTTGAGAACAGATAGTGAGAAGATCAAGTTTGGAAAGAGAATATGGGAAGTTATAAGAATATGGGAGTTATTGGGAACCCTGAGTTTGTGAAACATCTGGAAATATCGTATACAACCAGGCTTGGCTTTTGGCATAGGCAAACAGGCATTTGTCTACAGTAGCAGACTGATGGGAGGTAGTGGCAATATGGTTTCTCAAGGGCCTGTCTTTACCTAATGGCCAAGAAAGCCAAAGAGAAAGATGAACAAAAAAAGTCTCGCTGTAAGTGCACAATGCTTTCCTAAGATAATATAATGCTTTGCTGCAAGGGGCTGCTTGGTCACATTTCCTAGGTCTTCCTTCTGGAGAGGTGATGTGTAGGATGTGTCTTTCTCACAAAACTTTACTTGAGACTCCAAGCATTATCACAGGAACAGTGAGGCCAAAACATCCATGACTTTATGGAGCACCACCATTGCTTTTTACCCTTCCCTCTGTGAAAGTTAAGATATATGAAATGCCTGAGGTCTGTTCTAGCCAGCTGTCTGCAGCAACTTCCATAAAGTAGTTTTAAAGCCCATCCAGAACATCAGGATGAAAGAAACAATATAGATGTTGCTTTAACTCAGCATGACATTAACTCAAACGCTTTATGCAAAGACAACTCTTGAGCCAAAGCAAGACTTAGAGAAGGATTTGTGTAGAATTGTTACAACAAAACTTTTGTCGTCTGAATAATATGTGAGTATTTGAAAACATTACCTTTCCTCCTAGATCGAAGAAATATTTTTTCATCTGGAGAAATTACTTCTCATAAAATTTTAGTATTCTATGTTGTTCTACAAGCTATTTGAAAGTTTCCCAGAATTCATCATAAAGGTGGCAAGACTTCAGTGATTGACTAAGTGATATCTCTGTCACTCACCAATCAACTGAAGTGTTTAAAACTTTTAGGTATGAGAAGTGTTGCACAAAAGTAAGGCACCATGAATAGGTGCAAAGTGACTTTCCAAAATAGATCTTCTCGCTTCTCCTTTTTGATTATCTTCTCTGCCACATGCAGATACATACAGACACAAATCTTTGGTCATCATATCTAGTATCAAAGCTCGAACACTTTAGTTCCTTTTAGAAATATGGCTTCTTTCCTTTTCCTGTTCTGTAGCACTTCTGTAGTTGAATGTGAGGCCTTTCTAGTTGTAGGTATTCGGATTCCCTGTGGAAAAAAGAACAAAACATAATCCTTGAAATTAGGTTACCCTGCCTGCTCTTCAAAGATCTTTTACAGAGAAGGAGGGAAAAACAATCAGGGCAGGACTCTGTCGACTTCAGGTTGTCTTTGACAAAAATCTATGTTTGCAGCTTGGAGTTTTCCCGCTGTATTTTTTGCCCTGGAGACTATGGACTTTGTGTTACTCTAAAAGTTTCTTTCAGAGAAGCACGCATACAAAGGCTGTATCTGAATGAACAGCTTAGCTCATTTCTGAACATAATAAAAATGCTTTTGAAAAGGTTTGCACCACAAGTATGGAAGTATTTAGCTTAAAATTGGAGCACAGTCCTGGAAAGCTGGGTTTTTTCAAGAGTTTTGGGCTTCTGCTTAAAAACACAACTTAGCTCTCAGAGTGCTGGATGTGAAAGTAAGTAGTTGAATTTTGGTCTTGAGAAAAAGAATCTGCTGATTGTTCATTTTGTTCTCCTGAATGTCAGTTCTGGAAATCAGTCTTCAGTAAACAAGCTAAGTCTCTACCTGATCTGACCAATCTTTTAAATGACCCAAACTTCCAGCTTTGGTCTTCCTATATCAGTACAATGTCTTTCCTTCTGTGAAGAACTGTTTTTGCCAGGTAAAGCCAGAAGTGAACCCAGGTAAATTCTTCATTGGAGAAGAGAAAAAGCCTCAGCAGGGGAACGTTATTTATAACCAGTTTAACTGATTGCCGTTGAGAAGTGCCATGATGAATGCAAACATGATTTTATGCCTGAATCCTTTTTCTAAAGTGGTGTTACAAGCTGATTTTTTTTTTCCCCGAAAGATGTAATTTAAAGAAAAACAAACATATTTAACCTCTCTATCATTTAGAAGACCATCTGGAATACCTCAGACATTCATAGCAGAGATGAAAAGAAGTTGGTTCTTATGATTAGAATGTTCCTAGTTGCCAAGATTGGCTTTAAAAATTTTAAGAGTAGGATTCAGATGAAAATTTCAAATGCTTGAATCTATGCCAGAGGAGAGCTTGAACTCAGCTGAGGAAAGAGATATCCATGCAGTCAAAATCATTGTTGCGTTATAAATGTGAGGTGCTTTTTAGATGAGGCAATTTGGAATTTATGCCAAATACACCCACATAGCACGTGTTTGTTTGAACTTATATATATAGTGGGTCATTTTGCCTATTTTTGGCACCTGAAGAAATAATGTCTATGCCAAAGTCTTAGAATGTGTGTGTGTGTAGAGGGGGTTAGTCAGTGATAAAAAATACTAGTGTTCATCAAAACATTATTTATCTTACAGTTTTCTTTGCTTTACTAAGTGTCATAATAATGTTTTATTGAAATCACATTAAGAACAGTGTACATGTTACTGTTAATCTCAGTTAAGTGACTTATGCATCATGCAGAAAGCCTGCTTTTTCCTTCATTCTTTTAAAAGTTGCCACATCTTCTGTGTGGTGATTGTATTAACAGTATAAATAGAATTTATGAATATAGAAGTTAATTATTAACAATTCCCTGGAAACCCTTTCACATGAAATCTATAGCAACAGTGCCTAAGAAGAAGTACAATTCCTGCTTCAACACATTAAACTTTTCTGGTGGCACAATTGATATCTGCTTTTTAAAACTGAGGTCAAAACCCATTTTTAAAAAACATTCTGGTTCGGAAACATGTTGAATTAATTTAGTTGCACTCTTTCTCTTTAGAATTCATTAAAACTGAAAATATCTGCTTTTCTAATAACAGAGATTAATGTTAGTTTTATTAATGCAACTCTCATTATATTTTCATCTTTCAATTTAAACAATCTCTGTTTCTCCATCTAAAGAGATTTAAGGATACCCATGAGGAGGTAGTGGAGGTCTGAGATAAGCTGATCGATATATGTATTATTAAAATGGTGGACAGAATACCATTACTGCTGTACTGTTTATGACAAATAGATATGCTTAAATAAAGTAGTTTACTTGGTTTTTTGGCAGGTCATACATTATGCACGTTCGATTTCCTCTACAGTCACCACAAAGTGTGGAAGAAGTTAAGGAATTCAATGAAATTAGCCTGAAATCATTAGCTGTAAATTAGACATTCATTTAGGATAATTCTGCTTTCAACGATGGCCTGCTTATTATAAAGATGTATTTGTCAGGGCTCTAGATTTTTTTTTTTTTTCAGAACAAGAGAAAATGTCATTTATTGCTACTTATGATTTTTATTGGTAGTGTATACATATTTTACAACAAAACTTTAATCAGAAAAGCTGGCTTTATCTTCATACAGTAAGAACATTTTTTGGAATGGGGTAGTATGAAATAACCATTATTTTTAATGTTCTGTGCTACTGCTTCAGTCTCATGTTTTTTTCATTCTCTCCTTTTTAAATTTCTTATACTGAAACATATTTTAACCCACTCGGTAGAAGTCTGCAGATCAAAACTAGGGAAGGCAATGAGAATTGTAAATAGATCTTAACACCATACTGCGTACTATTCTAAAACTCAGGATTTACAGACTATAATCGCAACTACCAGCTCTGACATCCAGAATGGAAAAGTTGGAAAAGAAAACATTTAACACATTGGTTCACTGTTTTCCTTTAATAAAAGAGAAAGAGGCTCTTTCTGTTTGTGATAAAATACAAAATATACAAAGTCAGAAAGTTCCCATTAGCATTTGTCTTTTGTTTTGAGAAGATAGACACAATGATTCCTGCTCACACACTGTAAGGGATGCAGTATGCATATCTGATTATGCTGTCCTTGTTCTGTTGCACAAGAGATACTGGAGGAATGTGGCTTTAACACTCTTTGGGAAATATAATGCCTCTAGGTCTATTTGGTTCGTATGGTTTTATGCAAAAGCAGTACAAGCTGAAAGAAGGTATTTTGTGTCCTTCTCATTGTTTGTACATATACATAGCTAGGGCTGACCTGCCTACAGCAGCAGCACTCCATACAGCAGTACTACACATTCCCAAATACATAGCTGAAAGGCATTTCTGGCTTTTAAATATCCTATAAGTTGGTGTAGTTCTGTGTTCCCTTGGAATATCTGTGACTCCGTCCTGCTCTTGGTGTGTGTGGGCAGAACAGACCTTTGTGCACGTGCCTCCTGTTTGATTGGTTTGGGGCATAGACATTTCTGAGAAATAATTGTCTTCACAGAAGTTTATAGAGCATATTATATCTTTAAGCTGTTGTATGACTGTAATGTTTAAAAAGCAATATGACTGTTGATGTCACTTTTAACACTATCAGATGAGAGCAAAGCACACAGTCCATGGGGGAACATTTTAAATTATGCTACCTGCTGACTTACTTAAGCTGCAAACCTGCCACACTCTAGTGGGACAGAATGATGTAATGTGAGGTGAGCACAAAGGCTAATTAAAGGAACAGGTTTTCTTTGTTTGGAGGCATGAAAAAGGCTTATTATATTTCCTTTTTCCATTGCATTTCATGCAAGAGTCAAGTACGAATTATAAAAATTTCTAAACCTAAAAATGCCTAAGTTAAAGAGGTTTAACCCTGGAATAACCCCACTCAGTTTTTATGCAGAGCAATGTCCAATGGTAGTTTACTTGTTAATATACAGTACTCCTTTATTTGTGAAAATCAGTGTTGGTTCTTAAGGGTCAACATGATTGTTTAAAATATTTATCACAGATATTAATCAAACAGTAGATTCCCTTATGATAGCAGATACACTCCGTGAAAGGATCCCAGTCCCATTGATGTCCATGACACAAAATTAACATTTTTTACTTTTTTTGTTTCCTTCAAGAAAGCACACTTTGCTAAAGGGTTTTCCTGATTCACAATTACAAACCTTATGGTCAGTTCTTGACCACTTAATAAAAAGTTTATTTAAATATTTATGGTAGAATAATGTAGTCATTTCCTTAAATTTACTTTCCTGAAATGTATTAAGAATTTTTTACCTGTGAGTGCTCATATTATAAACTGCAGGTGTGATCCTCATTATTAGTTCTGTTAGGTATTTCCTGTACAGAGCATTTCATATCAAATATAATTCAAAGTGTAATGAACTTTTTAATATTAAATTTATAATCTTTCAATAGTTTGCGTAGAAACCCAAATTTTCTTTAATAATTAATTTAACTGAATTGGTGCATTTATTATGTAAAAACCCTATATAATGCCCGTGTTGTAAAAAGAGTTTTCTAATCCCTGGAGTTAAAATATCTGTTTTCCACTCATGGCATATGGCTCTCCTTTTTGCAGCATTGTGTTTTGTGCTACACTGCACTATAATTATCTGCATATTTTACCTCTATGCTACTTGAAAACAGTATGCATTCAATATTGTTTCATAAATAGAGAAGAAAATATTGAAATAAAACAGTGGTAAGGACCATTTAGATAAATTCAATACAACATGCAAAAGACCCGATGCAACATGCAACCCACGGGCCAGATTTCATCTGTATTTTTGTGCAGTGAACTTTTGGATTCAGATTAATGGAATCTTAAATTCTCTCTAACAAAAAAATACTGAGATATGTATACTTTCAGTAGCCTACCAAAACTTCAAATACCAACCTTGAGAATCTTCCTCATGTTCATTTTAAAAGCAGGGAATAGAAGCGAGAGAGTAATAGCAGCTGTTGCTGGAGGAAGAAAAATGCAAATAGGAAAGAGGAAGGAAAGGCAAGAAAGGAGACAGGTGCCAAAAAGCATGACAGGAAAGAAAAAGATGAAAGTAAGAAATACAGTTGATCTGAAAAGGAGCTGAGCATACCACTGAGCAATGTTAAACATAAAGATGTGGAAATTGATAATAAATACTGATTAAAGCAGCTAGGAATTAACTATTTCATAAGGACTACTTTCTGCCCTTTAATTTTTACTCATGCATGCCTACATCTAGGCTAGATTGTATTTCTGAATTTTCACCTTGGCCTTGATTCTACATTTCAGAAATGTCAGTTCATGTAATTTTGGAAGAGATGCATCTACACCACTACTAGATGAGAGTGTTATGATTTAATATATTGGAATTTTTTTTGGTACTAATTGTTACGGGTTAACAGGTCAATATACATAGGTCCTTATTTTTTTTTCCTTATGATATAACAGTTGCCAGCAGCAGTAGCAAAGTGGTAGCTGTGAGACATACTGGATTTTCCTTCGCATTCTGACAAATCTTGCTTTCAAGAATGATTATCTATGCTGCTGTGGTCCAATACAGAGCCAGTGGAAGCCTTGCCCCTTGCAGCTTGGTTTTGGAGTTCACCCTGATGTTAATCAACAAAGGGATCAGTCTCACAGTGAAAATTTGATCAACAACCTTGGGTACTTTGCAGCATGCTGACAGTACCTTTGCTCCCTTGAATACAATGTGATTTCAGGTGAAGCAAAAGCCGATTATTTCTTTTACATTTTTTTTTGTAGCTACTTGTAATACACACATGGAAGCTGTTGTTGGAAATTCTGTTCTTAAATTGCTGAAAACAAGGGCTAGCACTCGGTATTTCATTATATATCCACTTACAATAATTGTGTTTCATCTCTCAGACTTTCAAGAGGGAGCTGAAAACAAAAGAACCTGTTACCAGGACTGCACTTGAGACTGTGCGAATTTTCTTAGCAGAGCAGCCTGTGGAGGGACTGGAGAAGCTCTACCCAGAACCAAGAGGTAATTGAAGAAAGAGCAGGGTAATAACACATTGCTTGAAAGATCAGTGATGATCAGCGATGATTGAATAAATTCTGCCAGCCGCTGTGAAAGCATTCCTTTTACACTCCAAGTTGAATGTCAGTATTCAGAAACTAAGCTAAAAATATAGATGAAAGAAATCATTTAGTGATCCTTCTGAATACTGTGGCACTAAATATGCATATTTATAAGCAGATTTGGAAACTGGCTTTAAACCTTCAGGGCCTATCTATAACTGTAGGCCCATTTGAGGTCTGAAATCTGCAGTTTAACCTAAAATTCAGCTTGTAGTCTCAGTACTACAGAAGATCCCAAATACACTCTATTGCAGCAAAAGATTCCCAGTGATTAATATTTATGTACGTGCAGAACTATTTTGCTGAAAAGGACACAGTTGATAAACTTTTAGCTACATCTTGCATGTTTAAAAATGCCTTTATGTAATTAAATGCATATTTTGGTGATCTGTATGGTGAGAAGATTTAAATTTCTTAAGAGATTTTCAAATGAGAATATATTAATAAAATAAATTTCACAGGTGTCTTTAGTTATGAATAGTTTCTTAATGAACTTTGAACTTACCCAGATGGGAATTATTTTTCCTCTAAGACAGAATATGTTTTAAAAGCCTCTTGACTTTCACATTTAGATCTGTCACCTGAAGAAAGGGCCCACAATGTCACTAAACTTCTCCAAAGGCAAGCAGATGAGGTCAGAACTGAGTGGGATAAGCTGAATCTACAGTCTGCTGATTGGCAAAAGAAGATAGATGATGCTTTTGAAAGACTGCAGGGACTTCAAGAGGCGATGGATGAACTGGACCTGAAACTACGCCAGGCTGAAGTGTTCAAGGGATCCTGGCAGCCAGTGGGGGATCTGCTAATTGACTCTCTGCAGGATCACTTAGAAAAAGTCAAGGTATGTGTCAGTATATCAGTATTTCTGGGCATAAAATAATTGGCTTGTTCATTGTATGAATCCCCAAATCAGGAATTATCTTTTAAAATGAGAAATTGATAGCTTTGTATTATAGTGATTTATATTAAAAAAAAAAAAAAAGAAAGTACATATAATAAAGAGTTTTATAATTTCTGCAATTAAAATGGAATCAAATTAACATTGAGAATGTATATTGCTAACAAGGCTATAAAGCACTACAGGAATGTGTAAATATCCTCAGCACACTCACTGTTAACTCAGGAGATGCAGAGTTAACAGTAAAGAAAGCAAAATAGAATAGACAGGAGAATATATGATAAAAGTATAGAAAATTAATTCTATTCTTTATTATACTTTTGTAAGTATGATGAGTACATAACTGTGTCTATACTTGTAGAGGAGAATTTAAATAATTTAAAGAATACGGTTTTTTTGTTATTTTGTCATGGTGGTGGTATTTGCTGTCTGTCTTATTTGATAACTAGGCCTCATAACGTAAGATAGTTTAAAAAAAAAAAAGAAAAACACCCCAGAAAAACTGTCATTATTCTCTATAACTTAATACTTATCGGCTTTCAAGGGTTGTTTCATAAAATCATTGCTTATTGAGAAACTCGTGAGGACTTGTCCTTTTTCGGCATGACTGCCATGGCCAGACTTTATAAATACTACAGGATTCCTTCAGCTATAGCACAATAGAGGCAGTTGCCATTTTGATAAGAATAAACTGCCTCTGTTCCATTCACTTAAATGGGAATCATCAGTCATTTTGAAAGACCTGACCTGACTGTTATTTTCTCTAGTAGAACATTAGGATCTAAGAAAGAGGAAATACAATGACTAATGGCAAGAAAAAATGGCTTTAAAAATCAAATGTAGTTTATAAAAAAAAAAAGTCCATGAGTTTTAATCACACAGAAAGTTTAATGAGTGTTCTGTACAAATATTATGCAAGACAAATGAAGTACGTGGTAGTTGAACAGTTAGCTGCAAAATTTGTTTATCTTCATTTAAATTCTAAATGAACAGAAGAGATCTATTTATAAGTTCTCAGAAAGTGCCTTCTATTATAGCCACGGATTTTTTTGTGATTTTGAAGAAGGTATTCTGAACAGAAACACTGAATCCCTGATATTACTGGAAAACAAAGCAAGTTGCTTAATTCTAAAGATGTTACCATAACTGTTGACTCCATAATTATAGTTCTGAACCCTGTTACGGTTTAAAAAAAAAAAAAAGTCCTAGAGGACATAATGAAATTCTAATAACAGCCATGACAAAATAGAAATCTTAACGCTTATGAAAATCCAGAGGTACTGTCAATCAGTAGATGTCTGTTTATTCCTTCTAAGTCTTAATATTAGAGCCAGAGAGAAACCAAGACTTCTGTTTCAAGATTTAAAATTAGATGCTACCACCTACCCCCTGATTTTTATCTCATTTGTACCATATTTACTTAAAATATTTATGAATATAGGCTATGATAAGACCATACCATAAGATTATCAGCTAAATTATAAGTGAAAAAAACATACAGAATATATTCATATCCTTATAAGCTATAACTTTTCATTTCATATATGGTAATTATAGTCTGCTAGATGCACACACATGGCGACATTGTGCTTTCAGCACCTTCTAATTGATCATAATTAGCTTAGGTAATATAAGAACACAACAGGCCAAAAGCTGAATAATATTAACTGTGTGAGTAGTATAATAATTGTACCAAAATGTGCTGTCTAGAGTGTATGTATTGCTCTAATGAAATGTAATTCCAGCATAGATACTGAAGACAAATGAATGAACTAACTGGGCAATGTGAGCATGTTTGTTACCAAGAAAACTAAAACTGTGTCTACAATTCGAAGGCCTTTATAAAACTGTATGTTTTTAGGTTTTGTAGGTTTTACCTCAGTTATTCATATTTATGACATTCATATTTTTTCTTAGAGTGAAATCCGCTTTAGAAAAGTTGTAAATCAAGACCGATAATTTATGTAACCCTAAAACAGAGCATGTAAATCCTTGAAAAGTTTTCAAGTTTGTATTTGCTACATGTGAACTGGCTAGACTATAGAAACTTTGATCTTGGTCCTTTATATCCTTAGCATATCTACCTAAGGTGTACAAATATTTAAAATATACTCAGAACCCTATAGCCTTAATTTCTGGGTTTAATATTTCAAAACCAAAAAAAGAGGGTTTAATGTAAATGTATTATCTAGAACAGGAACAATAAGACATGATGTAAGCCTATTTTTATGTTGAATATATTTGTTGGATAGTAAGTTAATTTCTGATTTATTCCCTGTCTTGACAAGTTTAGATGTAACCATTATTACTATCTCAGTAATAATGATCAAATTTTGTCAGTCCCTCCCCCCCGCCTTATTTTATTTAAATGAAACCCAAACAATTGGGAAGCTAAGTTTTTGTGTTTCATTTCCACAGCTATCAAAGATGGAAGAGAAAGGTTATATTTTGGCTACTTTTGTACAAGAAATTAAAGCAAATCTAGGCCTTTCTACAAAATGTAATACATATTTATTTTCTTCATAAGACTTTAACAACTACATAAAATAAACTTTCAATAACAGTATTATATTCATAGCTACTTGTAAACAAAATTGTTGCTTTGAGTGAGAGGAAATTAGTTACTAAAAGAATTGCTAGTCTAATGCCTGAAAGTCTTAATAAGGTTAAGAAAGCTAATATGGGAACATTTATGAAAAAGAGTATGTAGAATTGACTCAAAGCATTAGCCAGGTGAGCAGCAATGTCTACTTTGTGTGTGCTGCAAAAATGAAGAACATCATTCCTAGTCTAAAGTGGAGGTCCAATGATGGAAAGACTCAAGATACAAGAGGGATTTCTGGTAGAGGGACAAGTGGAGGGAGAGGGAAGAAAGCTCCAACATGCTTCGCACTGAATTGTTTCATCCTACATCCTGGTTACCTTTTGCAGTCTACAGGCCCAGTCCTTTAGCTCCAAAACTGCAGTAATCCCCCAAAGTGCTGTATGCATATGAGAATGGAAAATGAGTTAAAATCTGTTGTGTAATTCCTAATGTGCTGGAGTTTAATGTGCTGTAGATTGGGAGAATCACTAAGACATTTGACTCAACTCTGCAGATTTTAGATGCCTTTGATATCTGTTATTTGGCCTGTATAAACTGGTTCAACACGACTGGTCCCTACTGTTTTCTTCTTGCTCCTCTTACTAATTGAGTCACTTAAAGATTAAATATTTTTCCTTTGCAAATGTTTCAGTTAAAAGGTAAATTTGTTGAAGAAGACACAAGTTATATAGCCTTCAGTTAAAAGTTATTAGTAAGCAATAAGGTTTTTTTCTTTATAAATTATATTATCAGCCAAACATTATCAAATTGATATATTATACATCTCATCCTTGCTCTGGTTTTTATGATGTGTATCACAATGACTGATGATATTGCAGTGTGAGGGAGAATACGTATTACTTTCTATACATCTAAGCACCCCAAGAACCTTATGAGCAGATCTTTGAAATATTGGTCACACGTGATTGCATTTCTTGCAAATCCTTCTCCTAATCGGGATCACAGTAGCCTTCTCAAACATAAGCTGATGAATAACTTCCTAGGGAATGAGTTAATCCAGTGACATTTGTCACTGTTCTCTTTAGTTATAGCTGCTGGAGCTCTTAAGGTCATGGTGTAACGTTGAACTCACACAAAATAACTGATCCTCAATCAGTATTAATGGATTATTATTACAGATCCTTGATCTGTATTAATGTGCCATTGGTATTCATGTCTGATTCTGAGGACAAGAGATAAATAGTTTCACACAGCTACCGCACAGAATGCAACCTAGACTACAGATGAACTATACTCAAAATATTCTTCAGACTTCTCTGCTGTCCTCTGCTATTCTCCCTTTTTTCTTCTCTCATATGAGTGATCTTATCTGCAGACTGAAATGGAACTTACTTTCTTAACAGCACGCATTCTTTCTCTCTCTCTCTTCCAAGCATACCTTTCTGTCCATTAAAATGGACACTGTCTTAAATTCAGCCCAAGCCCAAACAAATCTATTAAATGTCCCCTAATATCCATTGGCCGATCATTTTGATTGTAGCTTAGATGACATTTTAGACATGACCTGGGTTTTCTACTTCTCTCCGCAGCAAATTCAACAGATGCTTTCTTCTAGCAATCACTAACAAAACTTCCTCCTTTTCGTCAGAATGCCTGGAACACTTAGGGTCACATGAGACCACCACTCAGTTTTTGTATTAAGCTTTTCCTGGTATGCAGCTGATATGCAGTCATACCTGCCTCACTATTTGGTATCTTATTCAAAGACCCATTCCAGGAATTGGCAGCAGAACCACCTTGCCTCTCTTTCTTCCCCAAAGACTCTCTTTTGCTCCATACCAACCAAAACCTTGGTAATGGTTATGCTGCTAGTGTGCAACAATCGTTACATGTCATGCTGCTACTTTCTCACAGTTTTGCTGTCTGTCTGTAGACGTTTGCTGAGAAATACTAATAGGGGTTAGTACCCTTAAGAAGTTTTAGAATTTGATAATTTTACACTCTGAAAAATTCTTTTTTAAAATAGGAGCCAATATTTTGGGATGTTGCGCACAGAATTTTGTGACTGAGAAAGCAATTTTAACAGTGTGGTTTATCTGTTACTAAAGGTGGTTCAGCCACTCCAACATACTTACGAGAGCACAATGTAAAGCACTTTCTTAGGCCAGTAATATTCTACTGTATCGCTAGTGGCATATAACTGCTTCAGTTTTCTGTCATACACAACACTGTAAGTGAACAGCAGAGGTTCTAGACTCCATGGGGGATATTACTCCTTTCTGATTTTTTTTTAACCACTGTAAAATAAAATTAAAACAAAAACGAAAACAAAAACAAGAACAGGCAGTAGTGCCTGCGGTTTCTCTAGTTCAAAATAGAAGCGCATATCTCAGGAACA